TGAATGCTTCAAGCAGACACCTTAATGCGGAACCGAGATGGCATAGCTTTTCAAAAAGACTTTCAAGCAACCATTTTTCGGAAAAATGTTCATTAACAATAAAAGTTCAGAAGATGGCTAGTGGTTATATTCGGCGTTTGTTTTGTTCATGACCGCAGCGGCCCAAGGAAGGCTCAATTGAAAGCCTACCTCAAAAACTCCCGTCAACCTGGAGGTTGAATGTAGGGGGCATGAATTAAAATCAGCCATTTGACGTTGTACACTGGGGGCTGCGTGGGGGACGCTACAAGAGCGGAACAACGCACGTATCTGAAGCAGATGGTTGGAGTGTATTTTATGTGTGAGAAACTGATACAGTAGCTAGCCTGAATCTCGCTATCACTGCCATTATATACTTTCTATTAGATGTACCTCCACTTATCGGAAATCTCACTGGCCTTGGAACAATAGTCTACTGGATCACTAAAAGAATCTAAAAATACTAATTTTAGGCAAAATTCAGACATATCCTAATATTATTTAGCCACTTTCCATTAGTTGTTGCTTTGATGAATTATTTCACACCAAATAAACCACACTGAACTGGGCGTAACGGTTACTGGTGCATTTCCTTGTGCTCTCAATTTCCAGTTGACGTCACTACTATTATCCTATGGGTTATGTCGAACTGTACCCCTTGTTTATTGAACAAAGGTGGACTGAGGATATCGGGTTGGGGTTTATTTGACTGTCCGATCAACAGTTGTTGTGTAGTTCAATGGCTTATCGCCATACACACCATACATTGTTCACTGGTCTCTACAGAGACACGAAGGAATTTACTTAAAGAGACTTAAACTGGCGCTTGATGATCCTTGGAAATCTGGCTATTCCACTGGGCTTTGTCGCACGAAATGTTTTATCGGACAGCGGTGACCAGACAAGCTTCTAATCAAACTATCACTTCCACTGTTTTTCTAGAGATCAGGTGAGACAACATTTCCAAACTGAATGTCACAACATATGCGCAGCCATAGGATCGACAGAATGTGTGATTTACGTTCTAAAATGTAAACACTGATGACAGGTGCCTTGATGATCTTCTTAATCGAGACATTCCTGGCTAGAATGGATCTCGCTTGCAGACGTCCGTGGAGATGAAAACCTAATTATTTTCCTACTTGAATAGTTCTGCTGTCACAAATTAAAAGTGGGCTGGATATGGTGCTGGTGGTGGACAGCTCAAGTGGATGTGGTTGGCAAGGGTATCGGGGACACGCAGTCGTCGGCGTCCAATCCTGTTCTTGGAGGGCAGCACTATTTCGAGTAAACAGCTTTTGCTTGAAGAGACCACCCCATAATTCTTGCTATCTTCCAAAATTTGTGTTCATTATTCCCTTTTTATGGGGAAGTATAGACAGCGAGCCAAGTTTTTGCCCAAATAAGAAATCTAGGTGCGAAGAAAAACTTTCGAATTCGACCCCTATTCCCATCAGTAAAATCAGTCTGGGTCCGCGCTTCCATTTTCTAGTTTTGTCCGCACCAAATAATAGACAACATCAGGACCCAGAGTGTGCATTCGAGTGACAGACTGAGATGCGGTGTCCCGTTGATAAGGAATATTTAACTACTAAATTGAACATCCACCAAAGCCTCAAAGATAGAATCTTTAACGGAGTTTGGGCAACAAAGTAAAAACTCTATTCTTGCAGTAATTTTTTCGGCAAACTTCTTTGCCTTCACATTTCTAAATAGGTATAGGGCAAATAAGATCCTATCCTTCGTAATACAAGGGTCTCCTCTTGCAAGCTCTCTAAACAAAATTAGAGCGGTGCCTAATTTTGGATAGAATATATTCACATACGGGAGTGTGCATCATTGAGGCGGCTTGCGTTGACGGCGTTTAGAGAAACAGTTGTGCGCCCTGAGTTAAAAACAATCACAATGCCCGTCAACTGTTGTACTAAGAATATGCAACATTCTTACCCGTTGAGGCCTTGCAATAAATCCACATGTAGGCTACTAGGAACCGCTAGAAATTTGAAGTGAACAGTCGGAATAAGTTACTTTCCTATTAACTAACTTCCTGAGTATCACAGCATGCAATGCAATCGGGTTCATGAACCACACTGTCCACTTTGTTCTGGCACAGCTGATGGAAATTCCGCGCAGAACTACGGGACGTCCACGGTCAGGGACAGGTGGTGTTTAGTCTTCGTGACTGTCCACAAGGTTCCTGAAATTTGTTTGTCAACCCACGATTAATTTCACCCCCTATCTCAACAGGTGGACACAATCCCATGTGTCCGTCAGACTTAGGTAACAGCCGAAGTCTGCGCAAAACATTCAGTTTAGAAAGATCATGAATGAAATATTCTGATGAATGTAGTTGCCTTCCTCCAAAGCAAGATTAATGTGCAACGGGGTGCATTTTGCGAAATACGGTTGCTGACGTTGTTTTTTCACCATTATAGATGTCTTATGCGGGTTCGAATGGAAGCCAGTGAAACTACCCATCATTGAAGTTTGCTTTTCTGAAAAGTGTTAATTACAACAGAAGTGGATGTATAGCCGCGTCATCCCCAATAGCTCGGGAAGGATGAAACCAACTTGGACACACTATCCATGATTTAGCGTGGAAAGATGTTCCTGTAAAGTAGCTGTAGACCTTATTCTTTCCGACGCTGTTGTGCGGTACTCTAGAAAGTAAAAGCGAAAGGCCGCATTCCCCTAAGACTGGTTATTATAATCGTTTTCCCATAATATTCGGAAAGCGGTCATGTGAGTCGTTGCAACCCATTGCGTTGCTTTGACAGTGGCATGAATATACCCTTTCTTTATCCGAACTTCTCCTGCCGTTTGATATTAAACAACTTCGCTACAGTTCCGTTGCTCGATGTGGTTTCTAGGTGGCACTGCTTCAAAATCACAAACAGCCACCCAGTAGTCGTTCGGAAAATTCTGAACCAAATGAATAAAACGATTAAGCCTGTAGTTTTGATACGGTAGCTCCAACGGGTGTGAATATGCGCTGACGTTTAACCACCCAGTAGCACGTTATCAAACGAGTAGTTTGGCTTACGGACACAGAGAGACTCAAGGCACAAAGTGAACTGTAATGTGAAATAACCGTGCAGCACACATGACTCTGCTTGTTTCGAAGAATACCACTTGTATCTAAAGCTACGTGCAAGTGCGATTTTCATATTCAATGGGCCAAACAGGGGAAAATGTCATCGAGTAGATTTGACGTCAAACAGAAGTAAATTTACGACTCCTTCAAAATCCACGACTGTTTATAGACGAAACCCCAGGATATCGCGCAAAGTTATCCAATCTTGTCGTTCATTGCAGGAGACCTGACATTGCACCAGTCCAGTGGGGTTTCGCAAACAAAACATCCCGTGTCTGAGATATGCTAAATATAGCTGCATACAGATGAGGAACCAGACGCAGTGCCAAACCTAGTAACTAATAAATATCATCATCACGTGAATATAAAATACAAGTTCCCTTCACGATCTTTGTTGTTCACCTTCTTCTGATCAGAAGCAGCCCTGAATTCTTAGTTCTGGCTACCTCTATTACCTGTCATGCACCAGAGACTCCCTTCTGGTTCGGGGGTGCACATTACACAGGTGACTGTCCTTAGATTGCCCGGTGAATTCGGTCAACCTTGACAAAGGCAACTGCCAAAGATAAAGCAGTTTTACGCTGTTTTGTGGTACAGGCCTTAACTTTAACAAACTCTGCAGCTATTTGTCGTTAAAGTTAATTATTTGTTGTTTTTCATCCGCTTTTTGATGTATAACGTTAGGCTGTCATTTGAAGCCTGTATAGATGGAATGAAATAATATTGACCGGTGAGCCTGAATTTCTTGAAAGCGTTTCAGTAACGGATCGTATTTTATTCACCATAAAACTACGAACTTGTATCAGATCTGTTAATATATGTTAATATATGATATTAGCCCATGTAGAAAGTAGAAATAATCTAATTAGTCTGAAAAAGCCCTCCGAAAATGCTTTCCTTAGAATTGTACATTTAGCCGAATTCAGCCATTTTGAAAATGATTATTTAACGTAGTCTAGGAGATAGGGGAAGTTTTTTTGAGAACTTTTCAAGCCTTGTAATCATTTAATTTTTCATTTGTTGACAAAATAACTCGAAATGTCTTGATTAGCATTACGGTAAAAAAGCAAACTCAAACAGTCCTAAGGTACTTTGCTTTTTGCAAAACGCCTGTGATTTTCCTGTATTTCGAACAAACAAACACCGCTCCTGGAACCATTGTTGATAAGCTGCGAAGAGAAGCAAACATGACTGAACATTTAGTTTTTGTGATTTTAACTTTGCCTGGTTCCTTTCAACTTTAAGCCATGCTTGATTTTATGAAACCGCACTTGTCTTATCTTTGTTGTGTATCATAATTTCCTCCCTAGAGGTGACCTGTCATGTGACAAGCAAACACATGAAACCTTTGAAAAGATTGGTTCTACTGGATAAATCTCTGTTCATTCATTTTTGAACAAGTATTGATGGAAAATTTCTGAGTTCTCCATGGGAACAGTTTTGAGTTCTGTTAATTTTGAGAGGCAGCGGAAGATAAACTTTTGGACAGTCGGGCGATTCTAGCCCCCTTTCATTCGTGACTGTGGTAATGGCGCATAAATTTACAAAATACATTTGGGAAAATAAAACAACTATGAATTTCAAAAGATGAAGAAAGCGATCCCAGGTTGAGAGTAGTTTAACAGTCGTTGAACTGAAACCTGCTTCCACTTGGTAAGCCCAGAAATATTGCTCGTTAGCTATAATCGGAAAATTTAATTTTTCCACTCAGAAGGAGATCCTATTTTTAGGTGAGTGAAATAACTTTCATCACATTTGTCTGACCATAAAATTTTTATTTTGTTTGATGGTCAGTGATAGATCCTAATTTAGGCTTTGCCGTGCAATCTTTTGTTTAGGAAATTTTCCAAAAATATGGACTAGAAAAGCCAGGGCTGAAATAACACACCTGGCGCTCTTTTTGCACTCCCGGGTGAACAAAGTGGTCTCCTGAATCATTTTTTCTTTTTCTGTAAGTAGGAGAATCGTGTCTGAATATGAAACTAAGAAATACCACATCAAGGTGTCGTGGTAAGGTTGAGAGCATTATACGTGACTGATATTGAAAATAAACAGGCCGGCTGGTTATTAATTTGATATAAAGTCACCCCAAAGTCCGATAAACCGGTAGTCATTTGTTTTTTCCTTGGTCACAACCATGTAACTGCAAGTGGCATAGTGAATGGATGAACAAGCCGTGGGTAGCAGATAGCTGTGCAAACCGAAGGCTTATTTCACTGTGAGAAGTCAAGGTAGTTAGGTTGGCCTGTTTTATTCCCAAGTGCATGCATACATCACACGCTTGAGTTTGGCCGATCTACAAATCTAGGACCCCCGCGTTCAGTTACCTCTCGGTCGGACTCGGAAACCGATGTGAAGCAGCGTAATTCACTGACGCAATATCCTTTCACACGTGCGGAACGTATTTTAATCCCAGTAGGAAGTGTAATTCGGAGAACCGTTTGTTAGTTTTCGTGGCTGTTTCTCACTAGTTTTCTATTCACCCGCAAACGGACGACTTCTTTTCGGTGTAGAGAGATGGAGAGATGATGAGGACAGCCACACCTGTATCCATTTTACAAAATATTATTGTTAGCGTTCAGTGTGATGTGCGCGCTAGATTCTCAAATGTTGCAGACCGTTGTTCATTGCCGATGTTGTCAAAGCAGTTGAAGAGTTTCCACTTTGAAATATTCGTAGCGTCTACGTAAAATTTCGCCTGCAGTTGCAAGGTCTCACTAAGATGGATTACTAATACGACTGACTGGCTTTGGTCAATTTTCACAGTAAAACATTCTATCTGTATTCAAAATATCGCTTATTGTGTAAAATGTGTTCTTGAATGAGTGGTTTCAAGTTCTTATACGAGTTGATAAGTTGTGCATCGGCATTTTTACAACTGGGCCACGACCTTCGACTACCTTCAGACGCAGACGCGCCTTTGGTTCCTGCAGACCTGGTTGGCGGTAACGAACACGCCAGGTCACTCCGAGAACGCCTTTTCGCGGCACTACAAATCGACCGTGAAACCATTGGACATGCACAGCAACACCAGAAGACTGTGTACGACCTCTGTATGCAGTAGGCAGCTTTGTGCTCCTACACCGACCGAAAGCACCAACGGGTGCGCCCGCAAAATTCAATCGCATGTGGCAGGGACCTTATGTTATCGTTATCAAGAGGCCAAAGAACACCTATGTCATTCGTGACCTTTCTAAGCCACATGCGGATGTACAGTGTGTACACTACAATCAGTTAAAGCCCTACTATTCCCCCATTCCTGACACCTAGCCGTCTACATCTTCCTAGCTCCCACCTGTCATCCATACCATTGAGATCAGTACATCCGAAACAAACACTCCATCTGGGAACTGAGGACAGTGCTCATGCTCGGGAGGGAGCAGTGTAACGCAATTGAAACTTGACTGTTCCCGCTTAACACGACCTTACGTGTGCAGTTCTCCCTCTCTCTCTCTCTCGCTTTCAGGTATCCCGGACAAGTCACCACGAGCGCCGGACAGGAAGGAGTAGTCTGCATGGACCCTCCTCCCCCGAGTGACCTTGACCTGTTTGTCTGTACTTCACGTGACCTGTACCCGTTGTTCCGGTTCCGGTTTCGGTATCGAATATACGTGTATTTGCAACGCGGTCATTCTGCTTTCCTATCCGTGTGTTGTGCTTGCTGTAACTACACGTGCTGCTGTGCCTGAGTTAACCCGGTGTATCCGTTGCTTTACAGCGTACTGCGTCGACTCGCCCGCGCTACAATACGACTGACTGATTTTGGTCAATTTCACAGCAAAACATTCCACTTGAATTCAGAATATCACTTATTGTGTTGGTTTAAAGTGCAAACTAGGTGGCATCCTTGAAGAAGCAAAGACAAGACTAGGAGTCTGAAGCCGAAATTTCCCAATTATTAGACGATTCATGCACTGGAAGCAATCGAATATAGTAACACAAGAGAATGAAACTATATCAAGTTTTGAGCCATGTGTTTGCAAGCAGCTGGGAGATAGGTTTTTGTACAACCATCCAGTTCAGAACGGAGCCATTTTTGCAGCGGGTGAAGAAACGGTCAACCGGTGGCTGTTTTTGTGAGTTGCCCTGGGAAACCAGATCTGAACTGTGTCGCACAACACACGCGGATGGCAAATGTCCAAAAAAAATCATTCCGCACGTTCTGACTTTCACCCTCCTGTCTGCCGTCGTCGTTCTTTGATCCATTCTGTGGAGAAAGTCTAACTTCTCCCCTGAAAACCACTCAAATGTCAGTCCAAACCTTGAAAAACTGTGATGCGATATTTTCAGTATGGGTTGATCCCAACAGTAACTAGCATAAACAGTTATAATTTATCGTTTCCTTTTTCGACTTGAAAAAAACAGCCTAAAATTCTCTATCAAGGTAATATGCGATACTTGGCGTTTTATACATAAATTTTCAGTCTAATTCTAAAATACTTTGCGGTCATAAGCCAGTCAGTCGCATTAAAATGCACTGTTTTACCGTTCGTATGTTACTGGCCTGGACCGTAACTTAAAGCCATATGGCCGTTTAACGCGTCAGACTATGCACTTGTGGAGGAACCCTGTGGATCAGTAAACAAAGAAGCAAAACTGTAAATGCAAAACTGTATAAATCTCTGTCCGAACCTACGATAAGACGGTGGAATGCACCTGCAGGAAAATTTCCATGATGTCGGACCCGGCATCAAGCGAAAGTGCCATAAAAGACACTTGAAAGATTGCTATTAGCCTGCACTCAATTTGAAAACATGATCTGGCGGTCGATGTGAAATTAGTGCGTATTTGTTTTTTGGACTTTGCAGCAATACCGTCACCTCACCAAAGTGATGACTTCGATGCTTCGATGTGCCAGCTTTTGGGATAAAAAGCACTAATTTAACATTTTAGATATGAATTTATCGGAGACGGAAATTTTGCGGACTAAAGCGTTAAAATCAGATGCAAAATATGCCATACACACTGCTTTTTCATGGTGAGGTGCCCAATTTCAAGTATTTTAACAGAACCTTTTAGTGGCTACGCACCAACAGTGCACCTTTTCCTGCTCATTATCATGCGTTCAGTTTGGTTTCTCCAACTTTGTCATCATCATTTTCACGACCAACCCTTAGAAGCATCGTTGAGGCTTCACTTTAGTAGTGTGTTAGTGTTGTTCATCGTATCGTTTCGGTGTAAATCATGTCGAACTTATATCAGTTGTTGCCGGTTTATCCCGAGAACGACCTAATATGTGAACTGAAAGTGAGAGGTGCCAGCGTGGCGTCGAGGTGCACAACTGCCGGAAACACATCCTAATGATGAGGCTATGCACTGGAAATACCAGTGCTATTGGATTGTCGCTATATCCTACAGCACCCATGGCTTTGTACACGAGGGTCACTCGCAACAAATCCTGTCTAATGAAACTAATTTGTTGAATCACAGTTCGTCCTCATTTGCAGGATACACAAACTCAAACTGGGCGTGGGAAACAAGACACTGTTTGACAGAGGATGAGTTAGTACGCATAACTAACACAAGCTTAGGCGCTGGGTGCAGCACTGAAGTAAATTGTCTGTCAGTAGGCCGAACATCACATCGTTACCAATCGGTTGATACTGCCATGTCACCACAAAAAATTCTGACAACCCTTGGATCATCCGATTGTAGCCTGTCTCAAAATCGTACAAAACAGCCAGAATCATAATCTGGATTACACCACCTGTCAGATCTTACAACCTTTCTGACTTAACAAGTAGTTCAGATAAACAAACATGAATTCGGGTTTTGAAATTCGTGGGTTTACCTTCTGCAACGGCTTCGAATTATGAAGAGCCATCCTCCGCTGCCAACACTTCTCACGGGATTATAAGTGCTCGACTTTAGCATATATTGGGACATGACTTTACACTTACGATTTTCGAAAGTATGAGAACGTTCCAGTCTCTAAAGACGCCTTTGCCTCCTTGTTATCTTCCAGGATGAGAACACTGTCGTATCTCAGCGGTAGCAAAATTAACCCTACCTATTGAGGTTTAAACACGAGTGTGAAGAGTGGAACCATGTGGAAAAGCATGCGCTTAGTTACCAAGAATGTATTGTGTTGGCTGACATTTGGGACACGCGTTGTTGAGCTGATTTGCTTAGGAGGGCTGACTGAAATGATCCAGCGCGTTTTTGAAATCAAGATAGAGAGCATCGTGCTCCACCTATATTAACGCCGTTGCACTTGTCAAGGTCAATCTGGCCCACATAGCCTCGTAAGAGCCTAACTCCCGTTTTGCCATCTTCGAGGCTTGTTCTATATTTAGAAAATAGCACACAGGGCGTTGTACTCTTAAGAGCATAACCTTAGTTTGCGACTTTCGAGCTTGTTTTGTATTTAGAAGGTGCCACATCGGTCTTATTATGACTGCGGACCAGTTGACTCCTGTGGCTGTCGCACATTCTTTAAAAAGAAGCACCCCTATTGAGCACCGTCCGTTTGGAGAGCTTTTTTACCAAACGGATGGAAAAAATCAAAACTGAGAATTACATCTCAGTCCAGCTGGCTGTTCATCACTTTCATCCCCCTGAATTGTGCTGTTGCTCGGCAGGTAGCTAGCTGACCTGCGACTAAATAGTCTAGGCACTGATCTTTGCTTAAATGAAAGTTTCACCCACTAAAGGTTTTTTGGCCTCTGTTGCATGAAAAAGTTGAAAAAATTTTTTGCGTTCTTAAAACGTTTCAGCTTCCACAGAGTTTTAACCATCTGGATAGACCAAACACTTCAGGAGGTACGGACAGCATGTGAACTGGAATCCTGATGGCACGTAAATGTACAGCGCTTTCGCCACCATGACCCAGCAAGACAAAGCTGCGTCTCCAAAATGAACCTTGCGACTCCATGTTTTAGGTTCAAATCTTCAATGAAATTGGCTGATTCGTCCCGCAAGCTGACATTTTTATGCCACTGTGATGCGCTGTGGGCTCTTATTCCTGAAT